TAGACAACAAAGATGAACATATACGAAAATTGTTTAAAAATATTTTTACCAATATTATTCGAATGTTTATGAATTTGATACAATTTAATTTCAGTTGGTATAGTGATTTATCATATTCACCAAACGTATTTATTGATTTACCATCTAGACTATGTTATTCATCAAATATTAGTTGTTTAAATGTTAGGCTTAAGAATTTTAATGATTGCATTTGTTTACTTAATACAGATCTTAGTCAATTACATACATTGGTTGTAGAAATTGATTGGATTAGAGAAACACTGATGGTTCTCAACAATACGGTAACATTTTTTTAAATGACAAGGAAGTACTTTTGTCACTTGGCGCAGGCACAGTACAAATACACTTATATTTTCGATGAAGTCTTTTGAAGAATGATATGAGGAAAGTTGTAAATATATAATTACTTAGAGATTAGATTTGGTCTTATATAAATAATTCTATGATTACTTTGTTTTTAGGAAATTGTATCTAATTTAAAATATTTCTCATTAATTTCATTTGATAAAACAATCGAATATGATACTAAAATTGTTCCATTGCTTCGTCATATGTCAAAATTAGAAAAACTTGCATTATCTTTGATTGTTGATCGTCGAAACTCATTCATTGATGGCAATCATCTAGTTAATGATATCCTTAGTAAAATGTCAGACCTTCATACATTTATCTTCAATATTATTACCAAAAGAGTCATAATAGATGAAGAATTTTTACCAACTCGTGATAATATTCTACGTCCACTCATCGAAAAAGGATATAATGCTGACTGTTATACTGATTACTGTACAATCAGCAATGGTCAATGTCATATTTTCTCGCTTCCATTGACTTTGGAACGCATGGATGTGTTTACTAACAAATTTCCTGATAGTTGTTTATTCATGAATGTTCGTCACTTCGCTGCACGTCTTATTTGGCGTCCATTCGAACATGAATTTTTTGCTCAAATTTCTCGAGCTTTTCCATTATTAAATAAGCTGAAAATAAATAATATACTTGCTCAAAATAAGAAGATAACATATCAACAAGATGGATATGAACAAACATCATCAGTTATTGAATTTCCTTATCTCACTGAACTTGATCTCAGTGGATCTTCTCTTGATTATGTCGAGCAATTTCTTTTCGACTTCTATACACGTTTAACTAGTCTTAACACGTTACATGTCGATTATGAACTTTTGTTGTTTGCAACACAATATTTTACAGAAGATGCTGCTCGTGCAAATTGTTTAAAAGTGAAACATATTTTCTTTAATCAAGAACCAAAGACATATCCAGAAAACTTTCGAGATTATTTTCCTTTGTTGTAAATAAATTTTTTGTATTCTCTTGTAACATTTTATATATAAATAAAAAAAGAATGGAAAAATGGTAGTTGATGAAATGAAAACGATTCTTAAATCTATCTATATATAATATTAGTATCAATATTCACAGTGGCTTTTATTAGTTTAATTACTGCATGGAATAGCAAACTTGAATAGATACGGTCATCAGTACAAAACTTTTTATATAATAGTTGATTTCGAATTATTTGTTTCGATTGTCTTAACAAAAGAATTGAAAGTTAACTTATGAATAAAATTTTAAATTTATTGATTATTTGTAGTTTATTATGTGAACAATATTCGGAACTATGAAACAGAATACAAGTAAATATTATCTTCGCTGTGGGTGTGTGTCAGTACGAGTGTGGACGTTGGTGTCTCTTCTCTGTTTATACCCACCCACACCCTTAGGATGGTTGGAAAAAACAGAATATCTGATTAACGTATGTTCTCAAGCACAACATCTTATTATTAATTACTTCGAAGATATGTTTGAGCTTTCACAATTTCTGTCGTTGAAAGAGTCCACCTTGAGATGTCTACGACGTCTATCTCTCACGGTAAAATGATTAATTTAAAACATGTTTATCATTATCATATAATTTTATTGTGCATTTTCGATTTTGTGTATAACTTAATTTTGCATTTTTCATCTACTGTCTATGATTAAAGTGAATCATTTTATCTTGAAAGCGTGGGTATGAAATCCATCATCATCCACATCATTTTAGAAGACGCTGCATATAACAGTTGATAACGAAAACTTGTTTTTTTTCAGCTTTCGAAAACATTAAAACAATAATGACACTCAGATAAGATAATTCTCAAATAGAATGAATAATAAGCAACAGAGAGCCGCTTGTAATGTTTACAGCTTTTTTTTAACAAGAAAGATAACATTATCAATAAAAGAAGAAAGTGAATATACAAAAAAAAATAATTCAGATGGTCGTATGACTCGTTTTGACGTTATTAAAGATCATTTTTCTTTACATTAAAAACTATATATAAATTAATAATTGAAATATTATTATTGAAAATGTTAACAATATCGACATCAATGAAGGTAAAAAAAACTTTAGAGATTATAAGTACTAATCATGCATATATATTATAGTCAATCTCATAAGAAATCACAGAAATCATACAGTGTGTTTCATTCTTTTGATAATCACTGTAATTATGTTTATATTGGTTACCTTCATTAATTTGTATATCACTCTCATAGTCAATATTAAGATATAATTAATTAATCTAGTTATAACCCTATACATACCAAGATGACGATTTCAAACATAAGTCTCGGCATATCGGCTAGCTTCTTGAATCATTTTTCTTACGTAGTTTCAATCTTATATCCACCATTGAAATAATAAACATGCCAGAGTAGAAGTGTACGTGAATTTGACCGTAGCAATCTTTTGTTATCTATAATCCCTACTACGACTGAAATCTTCGCGGTACTGCTTTGATCCTGATCTGAATCATAAATAGTAACTCACTTGCTTTGCTTCAGTCACTTCAAGTCAATATTCTAGATTATCAATCTTATTTCTACTAAAAGAGTGATATCAACATCTTTCTTTTCCGGCTGATTATACGTAACGTGTATTCGTTGTTATAAAATGTCCAATAATGACAACTACGAATATATAAACGAGGCATCTATCAGTCCTGAACTGATATGTACCATATGTCAAGAGCCTTTCAAGGATCCACGAATTGCCGAATGTGAACATGCATTTTGTAATGTATGTATCACTGATTGGATGAAGAATGGAAACGGATCTTGCCCAATTGATAGAAGACCAATCTCAAAATTGGTACATGTTAACAGACCGTTGAGAAATCTGCTCGATGACCTTACAGTAGAATGTAAAATGTGTGGACAAACAGGGTTGAAACGAAGTGACTTTGACAATCACATTGATAATGTGTGTCCAAAGTCCAATGTTGTTTGTCTAGCTGCCGACATTAACTGTATATGGATAGGACCACGACAAGAATTAAATGAACATATGACACGATGTGAATTTCAACGAATGAGACCTGTTGTTGATCAGTTAATTAAGGAAAATGAACATCTTAAAGAACAGTTGGGAAAAAACAATCAACTTAAGGGGGCCCCCCCCCTTAAAAAATGTACTTTTTCGAAAAAAAATCGAAATTGAGTTTCTCACATAGAAAGATGCGCCGAAGTTTCCTCTTTCCGAATATATATAGGTTTTCCCAAAACAATGAAATTTACCTAGACTTATCAGCAAAAAACTTGACCTTACTACCCTATTTTTTAATATATTTTACATAAGTAAAATTAGTTCTATATTCGAGTATTTTTTGTTTAGATTCGACTAGGAATTTTTGCTAACTTTAAAAATAACTGCGTTAGATGCAGAATTTAATTCTCTATCGAACGGTGAAAGTTTTAGTACAGGTCACCGTGCAAAAATGAAGTTCTCAAATAAAAACTGAGTTTTTCACGGATTTTCTTAATTTTAAAACTTCTTTTGCGTTTTTCTCAGAACATGGTTTCCAATCACAAAAATGGAAATAACTCTGATTCGGCTGGGCCAAAAAATTAATATTTTTTTTTATATTGAAGATCTCGAAAAGACGAAACTTTTTATCAACCGGTTTTTTGAAATTCAAAACCTGGACTGAGAAAAATGAAATTTACTATCGCGGGATCATGATTTTCATGCTTTTTTCATGATATGTTTACTAAAATATTCATTAAAAATCAATAATACACAATTTCAAAATTCTGTCTGATAAAAAGATGCGCACTGACATGGGCTTTAATTTGAAACTACCCCGAGCCCCATACGTCATCCCTGAACGGAGTTATAAAGATTCTCCTGGAGGTCAAAAATCACCTATGAGCCAGGTGCAAAACCGGTCTGGTACGACCTAGCGAGCTGAAATTTTTATCAGAAGCGTATCTCACCAGGACTACTCATTTCTGAAAATTTCAGCTCAAACGGACCATCCTAAGTGGCAAATCGTTCCTGAGGGGGGGGGGCCCCCTTAACGAACGATTGGGACAACTCAATCAAGAAAACGAAGAATTAAGAAGGAATAGAAGAGAACAAGGAGGTGAGTATATAGAAAATACTTGAATATATACTCAACAGATAATAATCTATGATGATTGCGAAGTAGGCAATCGCTATCTCTTCTGGGTGCTAAGATCTCTGCTATTATAGAAATATTTTTGTTTCGCGAGACTTACAATTAAAAACCAAAAAGAAATATAATGTTACTGGAAAAATAGAGCGACTTTAGAAGAGATTCTACAATGATACTTTAATAACTATTTGCTCATAAAAGATCTTTTCCTCACTACCCAGACAGACAAGAACCTAAAAAAAACGCGTATAAACGCGTAGTA